AAATGACCTAAATTACCTCTATCAAACATGTTGATTTTCTACTATATACATGGCCACCAGATATTACCAGACGGTAATCAATCATCAGCTGCCATTCATCACCATAACTCGCCTGGGTCATCGGTCAGGCCTGCCACTGGAGGGGCAGCTTGCGGTGGCTCTCCTGGATGGGACAGCACAAGATTCAGCCCGATCAGGTGGATAAAAACCGTGTGAATATTAGTGGAGAAAATGGGAATTCACCACGGGTTTTAAAACGGTTAAAATATAGTATACTATAAAAATATTATCGGGGCAAAATAATTTTACTGGATAAAATGCGATCTGGGTAAAGTATAACGACCTCACTGTTCTCCCTCACTGGGATCATGGTTTATAGGGGAAATCATCCCCAATATTAGCCTTAACTCAAGTTAGTGAAAAATTATAATTTACCCGGATACTATTATATCCCAACTGGGAATTACCATGGGTAAATATCATGTCATATTCCCATTATGTAAATTATCATGAGGATATACCCTCTGATCATTTAAAAGTTTGCTATTGAACATGGCCATATAGATTTAGGTGATTTACCTATGAAAAATGGTGGATCTTTCCATAACTATGATAAATTACCAGAGGCTAATACTTATATTTCATACTATGCACCAGTTGGGGGTATACCACTACATAAAATGTCCAGTTAATGGAGATAGATACTCCACCGTCAACCCTACCTGGCTCCTGGGGATCCAAGTTGACTGGCTGTGTTTTTCGACTCCACCAGATGGTAAATATGAATGGTACCCTCTGGTAATTTAACATAGCTATTGAAAATGGCCACGTTTAATGGGAAAACTCACTATAAATGGCCATTTTCAATAGCTATGTTAAATTACCAGAGGGTAACTCTGAAACACTGCAAATACTGGGATTATCCCATTGTAAAGGGATAAACCATCTACCAATTGGTGCAGTTTTCTTCCATCCACAGTATCATGGGGGTATAATGATGTCATGGGATGTTATGATGATTCTGGAACCAGGTAAATCAAATCATCTATAATGAGCCATCTTCCATAGTTATATTAAATTACCAGAGGGTACAGTAAATATCATTTCTTGCATTATGCCGGATCAGATATATATTTCCTAGCTGTAATTCAAAAGATGGTCGCTCTCCTGAAATTTTAGCCATTGCTTCATGCTTGTTGGTGAAATCCTGCCTAATTTGATTTGAATCATACCACATTGAGTCCCCATAGTTTGTGATTTTAGCTTCTTTTTCCACCAAGGCATTTGTCCCAAATGATATCCTCCTATTGCTGGTTCCCTCCTCATGTTGCAGTTGCTCATGACCAAATTCGACCATTTTTGTGCTCAAAACCTAAGTGAAGCCTCCCTGTTTGCTGGGTTGACCATCATTCTTGCTAGTCTAAGCTGCCTGTTTGCTCCTGGTTTCAATCGTTTTCATCCACCTTTCAGGAAACCATGGACCTCACACATTGGTGTCCCTCAGTTCCAAGTTTGTCAACCCAGCCAAGAAGAAAGATACCTCCAGCCTGTTCAACTCCAGTTATCACGCTAAATTCAACTAAGTTCGGTAACTTGACTTAACCATACTTAACCGACTTTTCCCCAAAAAATCTCCTGGTTTTATCATGGTTTCCCCAAAAAAATGGGCCTTCACCATGGATGGTTTCTCACCAGGTGAGTTTGTCCTCCTCCTTGACCACTTGGCATGGCACCTGGCCCCATGCCACGGCTTTGCTGTCAGTGCTGGTGCCCAATCAGGCGCGGCTTGAGAAGTGGATTAACTATCGAAGTTATGGATGGTTAGCTATGGGCTAGAAGTTTCGATGTTTTCTTGGCCAGATTTAAACCACCCCCAAATAGATAAAAAGGTATAGAAAGGTCAATCAGTCACTATATTTTACAAATAAGTTGACTATGTTCTTTGGCCGGGGGGTGCTATAACCCTCACGTCATGTTTTTACAAGGAAGCATGAGGATCAACCATGAGAAAAGTGACTGGCCTGGCGTGGCTAGGTGGAAATATGTTAGATATTTCTTGAGATCCTTCCATTTCACTATCGAAGCGTTGAGCAAACTAATCGGTGAGTTGGGTAGTTTAGTATACAACTGGTCCACTCTACCAAACATGTGGTATCTTAAGTAGCTAAAAAGCAATTATTCAAGGGTATCCTGGATTAGCCATGGTATATAAGATGGCAAAACTGCTGGTAAAAGGTTTTTATCAGCCCTGGTTTTACGTACCAACTATAAATCGGGTTTGCTCATGTTTTTTTAATTGCCATTTCAGGAACCTGAATTGGAGGTACCTACCATATATAAGGCCTATATAAGGCCTATGCAAGGGAATATCGCCACAAAATATGGTCTTATATGGTACAGTAGCTCCATTTGAGGAAATTCCCTTGGTTTTTTCTTCATCTGAACAATAAAGTACGTTTTTGAAACTTGGATGGTAGCAATCCCCTCCTCCAAATACAGAATCGACTCCAAAATAAATAGATCCAACAGTTTTCAGCAGTTTTTCGATTGGTGGGTGCCTGATCGTACGTAGGACGAACATGCGTTTCTTCATACAGGTAGCCAGCAATTGTTTATTTGTTGTGTATGGGGAAGTGTCCAAGTAATATACATGGATGATTGTGGAGAAATAGTATGTGATAAGTAGGTTGTTCATGATCCATGGCATATACTCTACCTGTTAAGTATGTTTAAGATTGTTTAAGTACAACATGTGGAGTTGCTGACTGTTTGCTAACCTTCAGGATCTTCCAAGTAGTTGAAAACCAACAACATCCGTGGTGGATATATATGATTTGGTGGCCCCTTTTTTTGGATGCAAAAATCATTCGCTACAGTATTTGTCACTCTATATAATATAATCTATATACCGCAAAAGTTTGTGATCATGTGCTTCTGCAAAGATATCCTGTCTCGGATGATGAAGCCTCCATTGGATTTGATACCATGTACCCTCTGGTCCTCTGGCAATTTGACCTAGCTATTGGAAATGGCCCAATTATACACGATTTACCTACTAAAAATGTGACTTTCTATAGCTATGCTAAAGTACTCAGACGGTATACTGTTGTTATCTGTTGTTCTTTGATTTTGTTCATCCACTGGCTGCTTCTGGTTGTGGTTATATACATTATATACAAGCAGCGACCATGGAGGACAAGCAAGAAAAATGGAGGATACGTTGCCGAAATTTTCGTGGTCTCAGCGGGATGTCACTGGGCTGATGGTTAGTGAAGTCTTATAATTTCTCCAGAATTGTTTAACAACTATTGGATTACTTGCGATGTATTGACCTATTAGGACCTATTCTAAGTGTATAATCAAGTATAATCCACTTGAATCAACTATACATATAGCTAGGAGGCTGCAAAAGAGGTGGATTTCTCATATCCTTCAAACGTTCAACCTTAAATAACTAGATACAACAATTAAGCAATTACCAAAAACTGGGATTCGCAAAATCAACTACCTGGATGAGCTGAGCTGATTTTTTCAACGGGAAATCCTCTGTCAAAATGGGGACTCCTCCATCCTTTGTCACAAGAGGTTTGCATCAGCGCTGCCATCACCGCGTGTGAGAAATCCGCGCAGTGGACATCAGCCGCTGCGGCTTGGCTGTGTTTCACGGTGATTTCGATCTCCAGGATTCAGCTCTATGGGGTCTGAAAATGTCCGGATTAACCAAGAAGAATCGTGTTTTGAGCATTGAAACTGTGATGAAGCTGATATCATAGGTGAATATAGCTGGTATCTATAGGTGGTTGGTGGTTTGGAACATTATTTTTCTTTTTGACTTTCCATATATTGGGAATATCATCATCCCATTTGACTTTCATATTTTTCAGAGGGGTAGGTATACCATCAACCAGATTAAAACTATGATGAAACTGATATCATAGGTGATACAACCATCAATAAGAGGAAGATTCATTTGATGACGCTGATTTGACCGTGAAAAACGGAGACCTAGTCATCCATTAAAATAATCGCATGATAGGGATTTCGCCAGAATGTGGAGATGAATCTCATTGGGATCGTCATCGCTGGATTGCACTGGGATATCTGGGATAGGGTACACCAATCTAGGGGACATGTCAATTCATAATTGACTGACAATGGTGGGTGGATGAATTATCTGTCTATATATAAAAGGTTGGATTTATTAAGCAGCAATATATAATCGGGATTGAATGGTCAAAGATAGGGAATTAGCCAGTGTTGGGCATTTATGTCTACATACTAGTAACAGGATGTCTATGGGATATATGATGCATACTGTATACCACACATGTATACACATGTAATATTCGATTTGGGTTGGTCTGAAAGTGGCGGATACCTCGAAATGCAACTATGATTTATCATCAAGTTGTGGGGTGCCCTCCTTTCAGACAAAGCCAAATGGTGGACAAATCAATACTTACTATAGGTAACTGTTAAAATAGGCAGGACCAACTACTGAGGACGGACCAACTGCTGAGGACGCTAAAGTGCGTTTATCCAACCCACACAACCTAGACGTGCCATATATTTTTCGTAAAGGTCTGATAAGGATTGTGTTTTTTTTGCCTAGATTAGTTCGTGTGAATACTTGACAAGCTATGATATGCATTTCCAGGAAAACAATGGTTTCCCGATGTTTTTCTTAAACCAATCCATTTACATTGAATATTAATATAGCGGTTATTTCCCTACAATTAGGCTTAACTCGGGTGTCTTATAAACATAAATCCTTGTTAAGAAAGCCACACGCGTCACAGATAAATCTGTCTTTAGAATTAAGTTCTGGATTTTATTTTTTTTGATAAGAAGTCTTCTGGTAAACCACTCAGCACAACAGGCCCGGCCCGGCCCTGCCATCCAACCGTTGGGACCAAGGAGCTGCTGGCAGCGTTGCGCATGTTGCGCAGCGCGGCTCCCAACAGCACCAGCTGCAATGCTGTGCTCAGTGCCTGCGAGAAGGGGTTCCAGTGGCTTCAGGCCCTCGATAGGTCCAACTTTGGCGAAGATAGCCATGATGGATATCGAACTAATGGGGTGAAACTAAACCAGCATTCACCACGGTGAATTTGACATACGGTGAATGTGACATGGTCCTGGCAGCCCGCAGGCAGTAAACATCTTCCGCCAGATTCACAGCAGCCTGCGTTGCAGCGAGACCACACTGAATGCAATGGCCAGTGCCCTTGTCAGTTTTGGCAATTTTGGGGGTGAGAACATGAACTATCGTTTCGGAACTCATATGGTTCGGGTGGGTTTGGGTCTTGAGGCCAGTAATACCTTGAAAACTGGAAAATAGGTAGGACTTGATGTTTCAGAATGATTCACATATGTCACATTTCCCATAACATCCCATAACTTAGCCACTTTGACGAGGTTTATCGCCGCCAATCGGGGCTGCATCAGGTGCCTGCGAGAAGTGTTCCCAGTGGCAGATGGCACTTCGCAACCTCCCGATGGTTGCTCGACCTTTGATTCTGTCGGTCATCCCTTGGCCTTGGGATGTGCCCCACAACACTTTGCTAATTTTGGCAGCATGCAACAACCTTAGCATGATAGAGGAGTAGGATATGGCCAAGGCAGATCTAAGAATCACCTGAATCAACGAATAATTTGTGAGCAAACATGAAATTTCAAGAGTCATCAACAAGCAAAGATGGGATGATGGGATTGAATAGTAATAGTTACTGCTGGGGATCAGTGGTTTTGGCATGTTCGTTTCCCATGCGACTCGTTTCCCCATGCCTCCCAGCAATGCGCAGCAATGCGGAGCTTGGGGACTTGGATCGTAGGATGGCAGTGGGCAAGAGAAGCACTTGATGGGCTTCAATGCGGCCATGTGCGCTTGCCATAAAGGTGACTTGGCTAGCTGGGAAAAATGGAAAGAATTCGGACATCGTGTGGAAAGATTGGATGAACAGAACATAACAGAACTCATTTCTACATCAACAGCGGGAAATGATACACAATAAAACCCGGCATTTGGGTCAAGTGCCAATGTTCCGTGCTGGTTTTTGGCCAAATGTATACCCTGATTGGGTTTGTGTTTGATGTTCATTTTATTGAAGTTTCTAATTATCCTACCCGGTATGGGGATCGCTACTATGTGTGTTTACTAATTATCTAGGCGGATGGAAAGTGGTGGCAACAACATTGCCTGAAGCCTGGCACTGTACCAGAGATGAAGAGAAATCATACTCCTTCGCAAACCACCACTCGGATGTGGTCCCCAGTTGATAGTCGATAAAAAGTAGTGGTTTATGCCCAACCATTCAGTTCACCCAGTTCGAAGTTAGCACTGGATGATTCCTCCTCATGTGGGCCTAACAAAATTGGCCAATCATGGACAACACCGTGGGATTTCTTGGGTTTTTCAAAGCCAGTGTTTTAAGAGGATTCAATGTCCAGAAACTTTGCTGCCAGACCTGGTTGGCAACCACCAAGCTACACCTGACACCTTGTCCGTAATGACTAATGACCATTGAATGGTTCATTCAATGGTTCCGGTGGGATTAGCTGGGAAAAAACATACATATATGTTTTACATTATGTACATTTACATACAGAGAGATCATTTTGCGAGGTTTACTTTCAGCAATCAGACTTCAAATATAGTATTGTTGACACAAACGACCAAAGCCTAGAATCCGGCCTACCAGCCCCAAGTGTGGTGACATGTGGTGACTTCATGATAGATTTCCGGCCCCTATACCCATTAACCCTTTGGATCCCTTCAGAAATCTCCATTCCCGTGACCTTTCCACATCCGTTAGGATGACATATGTCGAGAATCAGCTACTAATATGGCTCAAAGCTTGGCCCATGACGCGCTTTCTGCAGATGAAGTCCCTTCAGTTTCAGTGAAGATTCGCATGTTTGTTGTTTAACTGATTTTGATTGTTTAACATTTTTGCATCCAGTCCAATGTCTTTGAATTTGTCTTTCTTTTAAGTTTTAATGGGTGTTTTGATGGGTGATCTTATTCCCCAAACAGTGTGTCCACACTGGGGTTTTTACGGTAGTAAAGGCCGGTGCTTGATCAGGGTGCTCACTCTGGGCCTGAGCATTTTTCCTGTAAATTTCCGTAAAAGGTGGCTCTTGTGAAATGTTGACATGCATTTCGACTGCGCAGGCTCTCACAAAGTGTGGGCCGCGGTTTTGGGCTGCAGCATTTTTCCTGTAAATTTCCGTATCACGGGGCTCGTGTGAAATGTTGCCTTGCATTTCGATTGCGCAGGCTCCCACAAAGTGTGTGTGCGCCCGTGTTCTGGGCTCAATCTGGGCCGGAGCATTTTTCCTCTAAAATCCGCATAAAGTTCCCCAAACAGTGTGTCCGAGACCTGTACCGAGACATTGCATTGAGATCCTGTTGCAGAGACCTTGCCAAGAGGTCTCTTACATAAATCTTGCCAAGAGAGCTTTAATAGAGAGCTGGTACAGAGATCTCACAAAGAGATCTTGCCAAGAGATCTCTCATAGAGATCTTGTCCAGGAGGTTTTGCCAAGAGGCCTCTTACAGAGATCTGTACAGAGATCTCATCAAGAGATCTTGCCAAGAGATCTCTTGTAGAGATCTTGTCCAGGAGGTCTTGCCAAGAGACCTCTTCTAGAGATCTGTACAGAGATCTTGCCACAAAGTCTCTTACATAAATCTTGCCAAGAGAACTCTTCTAGAGAGCCTGTGCGAGGTTTGACAAGGAGATCTTGTACAGAGACATTGCATAGAGATCTTTTGAGATCTTGCCAAGAGGCCCCTTACAGAGATCTTGCCAAGAGACCTCTTATAGAGATCTTGTACAGAGATCTTGCCACGACACCTCTTATGGAGACCTTGTACAGAGACATTGCATAGAGATCCTGTTGCAGAGATCTTGCCAAGAGGTCTCTTGCATAAATCTTGCCAAGAGAGCATTTAGAGAAAGCTGGTACAGAGATCTCATAAAGAGATCTTGCCAAGAGATCTCTTACAGAGATCTTGTCCAGGAGGTCTTGCCAAGACACATATTACAGAGATTTGTACAGAGATCTGGCCATGAGGTCTCTTACAGAGATCTTGCCAACAGAGCTCTTATAGAGATCTTGTACAGAGATCTTGCCACGACACCTTATGGAGACCTTGTACAGAGACATTGCATAGAGAGCCTGTTGCAGAGATCTTGCCAAGAGGTCTCTTGCATAAATCTTGCCAAGAGAGCATTTAGAGAAAGCTGGTACAGAGATCTCATAAAGAGATCTTGCCAAGAGATCTCTTACAGAGATCTTGTCCAGGAGGTCTTGCCAAGACACATATTACAGAGATTTGTACAGAGATCTGGCCATGAGGTCTCTTACAGAGATCTTGCCAACAGAGCTCTTATAGAGATCTTGTACAGAGATCTCATAAAGAGACCTTGCCAAGAGATCTCTTGTAGAGATCTTGTCCAGGAGGTCTTGCCAATAGACCTCTTACAGAGATCTGTACAGAGATCTTGCCACAAAGTCTCTTACATAAATCTTGCCAAGAGAACTCTTCTAGAGAGCCTGTGCAGAGGTTTGACAAGGAGATCTTGTACAGAGACATTGCATAGAGATCTTTTGAGATCTTGCCAAGAGGCCCTTTACAGAGATCTTGCCAAGAGACCTCTTATAGAGATCTTGTACAGAGATCTTGCCACGACACCTCTTATGGAGACCTTGTACAGAGACATTGCATAGAGATCCTGTTGCAGAGATCTTGCCAAGAGGTCTCTTGCATAAATCTTGCCAAGAGAGCATTTAGAGAAAGCTGGTACAGAGATCTCATAAAGAGATCTTGCCAAGAGATCTCTTACAGAGATCTTGTCCAGGAGGTCTTGCCAAGACACATATTACAGAGATTTGTACAGAGATCTGGCCATGAGGTCTCTTACAGAGATCTTGCCAACAGAGCTCTTATAGAGATCTTGTACAGAGATCTCATAAAGAGACCTTGCCAAGAGATCTCTTGTAGAGATCTTGTCCAGGAGGTCTTGCCAAGAGACCTCTTACAGAGATTTGTACAGAGATCTTGCATGAGGTCTCTTACGGGGATCTTGCCAACAGAGCTCTTATAGAGATCTTGTACAGAGATCTTGCCAGGAGACCTCTTTTGGAGATCCTGTACCGAGACCTGTTGAAGAGAGCAGGGGTGTTGCTTGGAGACTATTTATAGATTTATAGTTTGAACCGAGATCTTACTCTTACAGATCTTCTGTGGAGATCTCCTATAGACACCTTGTACAGATAGCCTTACACAGGGATCTTGCACAGCAGCGTCTACAGAGAACCTGTCAAGGAGATCTTGCGCATGATCTTCTACAGAGATCTTCACAAAGGGAACTTGCAGAATCTTACCTGGTATCACTGGTATCTCTTCTTTTCACTACTGGGGTCGCTCTTGTCCTGCTAGCTTGCAGCCACTGATGCTTTTAGGTCTTAGGTCCTTTCCGTCTTTCCTCCACCTTTTCATCCTCAACTTCATCTTCCGCATAATCATCCTCATCCTCATCCTCATCCTCATCCTCCTCAACATCATCATCTTCCACATCATCATCACCATCATCATCATCATCATCATCATCCACCTCCTCTTCCGCAACATCATCCTCCTCCCCCCATCTTCCGCAACATCATCCTCCTCCACCTCATCTTCCGCAACATTATCATCCTCAACATCATCCTCTGCAAAAATTTCCTCCTCATCCTCATCCTCATCATCATCATCATCATCACCACCGTCATCATCATCACCATCCACATCATCCACATCATCATACATTATCCTCCCGCTCTCTTGCCGGGATAGTTTTTCTCGTTGTATAACATTCCCGATGGGTCAAAAAATCCTGAATCCGTTCAGGCGGCTGTTCCTGGAGAAGTGTTTTGCAACACAGCTGCACCAAAGGCACTTTTAGGCTGGTATTTTAGGATCAAAAATGATGCGCGCACGAGATTTAAAATCCCATCCGCCTAAGAAACACACATATATAAATGATCACATATGCACCCCCGCTACTATAGCATGATTTCTTGGCGGTGGTTAGTATCAGGCGAAAGGAATTATTGGGATTGAATGGGCCTTGAATTGGGATTTAAGCAGTAAGAATTTGGCCCTGTTCGGGATGTTTGTTTAGATACCCCCTCACTATGGTTGAGAATTAAGGATGTTTACAGCATTGTGGATCCTGCAGTATGGGTATGGATCGAAATTCTTGGCCTGGGGACCGAAGATGAACTGGTAAGGATTTTCTATTGCCGTCCAATTTAGATTTACCCTGGGGCAAACTAAGATAGATGTTAAAAACCCATGAAAACCATGGTTTCCGGAAGAAAATGGGTTTTCCACACCCATGTTGTTTTACAGAGGGTAGCGGGTAGAGTGTCAAATTCTGTGGCCCATACCATGTTAGGCATATGAGAAAAAATATGTTTGCGTTTAGCGCCCACTAGGGGGACCAAACTTCACTAGGGTGCCCATCGCTCTACATATCCCAGAAAATTCTGGAAACCCTTGAGCCTTTTTTGACATGTGCCAGCAGACCCGCACATCTTGGTTTCCGACAGGTTTCCTTGTTCGATCACATCTTCGAGCGAAACTGTTCATGTTTGGGCATGCGTTCTCCCCTTGCATAGATATACATAGATCACCCTCGGGTAACCAAACACATTGCAATGGAAAACCCTCAGCTGTAGATGTTTGGAGGATATTGGAGGCAATGTTCAAACGAGCCAGGCTTGGATTACCAAAGAATGAATTTCGACGCTGTCAAGTTTTCAAATTCGTGAAACCTGTTTTGAGGAAGTGTTTATGATGACGGCGCCCCTCGTTTTGCGGGGCTGTTGTCACATTTGCTATGGGGGGTCGGGGGTGGGGGGGGGTCTGATAACGTTCCTGTCTACATGCACACAGCCAAATGCACACACACACACAAACACACACACACACACCCACACACACACACACTGGATGCTACGTTGTAGGATCTTCTCACGCACTTGCACGCGCACAGACTGGCAGCTACGTCATGGGATCTTCTCTTGCACTTGCACACACACACACACATTGGATGCTACGTTGTAGGATCTTCTCTTTCACTTGCACACCCACACACACTGGATGCTACGTCATGGGATCTACACATTAGATGCTACTACTTTGTAGGATCTTCTCTTGCTCTTGCACACACACACACACTGGATGCTACGTTGAAGGATCTTCTCTCGCACTTGCACGCGCACACACTGGCAGCTACGTCATGGGATCTTCTCTTGCACTTGCACACACACACACATTGGATGCTACGTTGTAGGATCTTCTCTTTCACTTGCACACCCACACACACTGGATGCTACGTCATGGGATCTACACATTAGATGCTACTACTTTGTAGGATCTTCTCTTGCTCTTGCACACACACACACTGGATGCTACGTTGAAGGATCTTCTCTCGCACTTGCACGCGCACACACTGGCAGCTACGTCATGGGATCTTCTCTTGCACTTGCACACACACACACATTGGATGCTACGTTGCAGGATCTTCTCTTTCACTTTCACACACACACACTGGATGCTACGTCATGGGGTCGTCTTTTGCTATTGAGCTGGTGGCCATGTCAGTTAGAAAATAGCCGGTTCTTTCACACTGCCAGAAACCTTTGACCAGAAACCTTGTCTCATATTTTTTAATATGTTGAACAGTGTCATGTCAGCAAGGTGGAGCTTTGTCATTGGTGTGGCGATTCACATGAACACCAAGAAAAGAATGGTTTGCAGATTATTTCGTGATCAACTTTCCTATTTCAAAACCGACGAAAGCGCCACAAACCCACAGGCCCCGCAATTGTGTTTATCTCTATCGACCCCCAATATCCACACATAAAGGTGGGTGAAAATATGATGGAAAGAGAAATGCTAATACTGATGTTCATCTTTGATGGGTACTCGCCTTGACTGTCAGCTGAACCGAAAGTTAAAAAATCAGGATTAGAATTCTGGGGCGAATACCATACTTTTATGGCAAACTTGAACTTTTTTTGCATACAGTCGGAGACGTTGACTCCATGAGTGTCCAAGATGTTTTGAACGTTATCCCAAAAATGTTTGGGCCTTCCTCCAACTCGCCGGCAACGTCACGTGGTTCGAGCGTGCCCATGTGGAGCGACCTCTCCTGCGCTCCCACGCGCCCGCATCCCCGCAGCTCGATGCATCGGGAAGCCAGCGATGGGGACCGCGCACCCAGCACCCCAGACACAGGGGCAGCGGGTTCGAACAGTCGCAATAAGGTGGCGAAAAATGTGGCCTGGCTGGGTCAGGGATGGGTTTGTTGGATTGTATACGCGTACAAAGGACTTTTTTTAATGCTAAACGGGACCTGGCCCGGGATTGGAGGTACCCTTAAGTTCCGAAACCATCATGATGGGGAGTTCCTGGGGAATGAGTGATCTTGAAAAATCCAAGAGCTGATTGCGATATATGAAGATGAACAGACCAACAATTAAGTCAAGTAGGTTAGTGTTGAGATTGGGGGAACCATCCCGAAGATATCCAAAGAATCCATAGATATCCAAAAATGATTTGCCGAATTGCCATTCATAAGCGGAGAATTCAGAATCAAGTGTCTACATTGCGATTTCTTCAAAACCGGGTGGAATCGTCTCCGGCAAAAATGATGATAAATGGCCAAGACAAACATGTTCGCAGCAAGCCTTGTGAAATATGTTGCGGTTTGTCTGCAGGTCCCGGTGTGCACTTGTCCAGTGTTTGGCTCACCGGTTCAACCTGGTCCAGAAAGTCAAGCCTTGGATGGATATATTAACCCCTCTACTGTAAACAATAGGATTGATGACAATCCCCCCAAACTAGGGAATATTTTACACACTTCTTTGACCATGACACAGACACACAATGACACACACATATATATATATATATCATATACATACATATATAATATATTATATTATATTATATTAGATTATATTATATTATATTATATTATATGTGCATACATATATATGTGTGTGTGTATGTACATACGTAGGTAAGTGCGCCATACAATGATTATCTTTTAATAATCATCATGCCCTTCGGCAATCAAACATGGACCTCCTTTCAAAGGGGCCTTGTGGCATCCGTCCGAGGTGCGTGTGAATGCCAATTTCATCCAATCCACCAAAGAATTTGACACGACGAGGGTCTCGAGGGCGACACGGCTGCGGCGGGTCATGAACAGTCTGTCGCTTGGCCGGCCGGGAACGGCCGTGTAATTTTCTACTGCTTTGCTCTTTTGGTTGGTTTGGAAATCATGGTGTGGGAACGTCTTAAATCGTTCACAAAGGTTTGAATACAATGATAAGGTATTCTGAACACTTTGATGATGAGTATGTTTTTGTTTGTTTTTCATGGGTTTTTTTTACACGTTCATGATGGTAGGTTTGGACATCATGATGGGAACTTGTTCGCGACGGCTTGAATATAATGATGGGGTATTCGGTATTCGTAACACTTTGATGACGGTATGTTTTTGGTTCCACCGGGACTCGGGGCCCCTGATAATCTGTACATTTTTATCTTTCGTACATGTTTCTGCTTTGTGGTGTTTTGAAACATGAAGATGAGTTTAATGTTGGACTTGTGACATAGAGATGTTGGACCAGGTCCTCTGGGGTGTTTCAGGGCGGTGGGGGGGGGCTGTGGTACCGTTCTGGATAGTATACGCTCTTGAGGGTTCATGTACATGAACTGACACAAGTGTTGCTACACTGCGCGCTCTTCGTGGCACCTGAGTTGATACTTCTGCTGCTACGCTCCTCATGGTTCATGCACATGAAATGACATAGGTGTTGCTACGCTGTGCTCTCTTCCTGGCTCCGCAGGGAACCTTAAAATCGGGACCATTCCCGTGGGAAATAGAGGTCCGGATCGAACAGACGTCGACAAGACATTCAAGCCACCATCGCAAGTTCACACGGCCGGCTATGGGACGGGAACCAAGTAGTTCCAGGCTTTGTCCCAGAAAATCCACCAGGCGTGGGGAATCCATAGTAAAGTAGAGAATATCTGCTGGTGGGGTTCCTTACAACAAGTCCAAGTAATGCTGTGGCTCTTGTCCCGTTGATTCGAGTTTACAGATTATCTATGAACAACAACCGGGCCGGATAGGACCCCGAAAGGAAAATAGTAGACCTGGTTTTCATATATATCAAGCAAGGTTTCTTAGGGGTGCTTCTTGTTGGTGGATAGGACAATTGGATGCAATTGGCAGGTTTTGCTTGTTGATCATCATGCATGGATGGGAACTGGTGAGTATAATGTTTTTTTCTGGTCAGTAACCGTTGGTTATACCTGATCCCCATTTTTGACGTGAAAAGGACAAATAATAGGAATGTGGGAGCCACAATCTTGGGGACCATCCTCAAGCTATCCCTGTGCTTGGTTGCTGTCCTACTGGGACCATTTCCGGAATGCATATCATCCATCATCTTCCATCATGTTCCCAACTTTGCCGGCTTTGTCTTATGTGGAAAGGAAGGCACCACAACCCTAAATTTGAACGGTCAAGCATGGTTTTCTGATGCGTACTGTTTACTGCGGATTTTCCTTTACACTTATATGTTCATCTTTAAAACTTAAAGATGCATTCAATTTAGTACGTATATTTGTGTTGGTCAATTCTTCGATACGTATATATCATGCTATACCATTACCTATGTGGCCTGCGTCCCATCCAATAGGCAAACAATATATAATAAGTAACCAGCAGATAGAATAAAAAACATCACCACCCCTTTAGGCTAATTGCAAGCAGGGGGGCGTTCCAAAAATGTAGATTGCAATTTTGCCCCCTCGGAATTTGACCGCTGGGGTCATGCTAATTGCAAG